ACCCATCTCTCAAGCGAAGAACGGACGCACCGCGAGCAATTTCGACGATCAAGAGGTTCCCAGTCTTGGATTTGATATAGGGTTCGATCACTAGGTTCCCAGTCTTGGGTTCGATCAAGAGGTTCCCAGTTTTGGGTTCGATCAAGAGGATCATCTCTCGGCATCCTCGGGTACTTTATCAATCTTTTAGTTTCGTTAATTACTCTCATAAACTCATAATTGGACAACTTCTTAATTCAATCTAGTTAATGAAAGTTTTTTTATTTTTATTTTTTTAAAGGAATCAACTTAATTTTTATTTGCTAAAAGTTTGATATATTTTAGAATTATTAAATTTTATTTTTTTAAAAGGAATCAACTTTAATTTTGAGTGATTGTTGACAAGTTTTCGTAACGTAAATAAAAGTTACTTGTTTAGGTGTCTGGATTTGGAACATTTTGTTAGGCCTGATGAAGTTATTTATTTATTTGAGTTCATCAATTATTTAGATGTTGCTGCTTGAATAATTTAATAAGTAATGTCTGCTAGCTTCAGTTCTATCAATATGATCGCATTTTCCTTGTTTATTGTTTTATTATTTGTGTGAATATTGAGCCATTGCTTTCTTGTTGATATGATTATAGAGTGTTTTATTATCTGACGAGATTTTTTAGTTGACCGATACATCTTATTTACAACTAGTTCCATTTATTCATCTAATTCTTGTTTATTTATACAGGCAGAACTTGAAGTTCATCATCCGACTCCTAGCCGTAAGTCATTTTGGATCTGAAGAACTTAATATCTAAAAGTAATGTACCGAGTTATTCTCTTTTTGTGTAGTTAAAATATTACTCTTGCAAAACTAAAATGTCTAAAATCTTTTTGCATGAGCAGATGTTAGTCCTCTTTGGATGGGCTTTGTTGATACTAATTTCACAAATGCTTCAAATGAGACAAGATGAGGTGGTCCTTATGCAAGGACTTGCAAGTCAGACTATAACCTAGAGCGTATATCAAGCAGTTCAACAAATTATGCTTTCATTCTCCTTCAATTTTAAGTAGTAGCTCCTCTTGTGCATTGGTCTTTTAACATCGTGTACTTGTTTTCTTTTTTATTTCTGTTGGAAGATTAGTACTTGTTCTCTGTTCTCAATTGTATCAGATGATTAGTTATTGTTCTTTGTTTTTAGTTGTGTTGGATGATTAGTGCTTGTTCTTTTCTTTAATTGAAGGAGTTGACTATCATAACAAGCGGTCTTCTACTTTAAGAAAAATGTTCTATTTCTCATGCTTAAATGTGATCCATTTTATTTTATATATTTTTACACTTTGCAGGGTACTTAGACGAGGTGGCTGTTTTCTACGCCTCGAGTTGAGTTAGTTCCCTACATTAAGAAGAAAACTTATCAAAATTATAGTTACTTACCCATTGAACCTGCCCTGAAATATACAATGATCATGATCTTGCATATTTTGTTCTCACTAGTTTATATGCACGTGCAATGCACGTGTTAAAATATTAAAAAATTATTTTAGATTTATTTTATTACTTTAAATAAGTCAGATTCATCTTGAGTTCAAATATGTAAAATTGAATTTTTAGATTTATTAGTATTTTATTTGAATATATTTCTAAAAATAAATGTATTGG